ATGAACAGAAGAAATGTTATTTTAGTGCCAGGAATGTCTTGTTTATTCTGGACCCTATTTGGAAATTGGCATCTTTTGAAATTTGTGTGAAATTGGCAAAATTGCTAAATTCTGACCACTGTATTGGATAGTTGAAATTGGAAATTGGGTGGTTTTTTGTACTCATTCGATAGAAAAAATGGAGTTCTAGCAAAATAGTTATGATTTTTGTCGACTAGTACACTGGAATTGGCCGAAAATAGGGCTCGAAGTGGGCAAAATCGCCAATGCATAAACATCGTTGAGACCGCTAACTTAGCGAGAGCATAATTCTGTAAGTTTTCCATCAAATTTCATACTTTTGGTGTCATTATGATCGGGAAAAGATTCTCTATCTGGGGACCCTGAAAGGGTTAAACCCTTTGACTGTTGAGACCCCTGCTTACAAACTTGCTCTCAGTATCGAAGAATTAAAAAAAAAAATTCTTGTGGAATGATAGAATCTTTTCCCGATGGTAATGACACCAATGGTACGAAATTATGCTCAAGCGAAGTTATCGATCTCGGCGATATTTATGCATAGGCAATTTCACCCAATTTGAGCCCTATTTTCAGCCATTCCATTGTTCCAGTCGACCAAACTTGTATCTATTTCTTTAGAACTCCATTTGTTCTAGTGATTGAGTACAAGAAACCGCCCATTTACCGATTTTAATTACCCAATAAACTGGTCAGAAATTGGCAATTTGGCCAATTTCACGCAAATTAAAAAAGATGCCAATTTCAAAATAGGGCCCAGAATAAACATTGCAGACATTTCAGGCACTAAAATAACATTTTTCTCTGTTTTCAGTCATGTCTCCAGGCCCCTCTTATATTACTCTTGCTTTCTATTTTGAATTTTTATTCACACAAAAAATAGAAGATTTACAGTTATGCAGACTACTGCATTATTGTAATAATTGTATAAATAATGTCAACCCATTCGTGACTGCATATTAGAATGGCTAGTTGGGCACTTATTGGAAAATGTCGTCATTTGTTTACTCTTGAACATCGGCAAAAATTTAACATTTCTGCTAACTTGAGCTCAATTTCAAGGTCCTTTTCATCATGAAACCAATCAAATCATCTCTACTTCAGTAATATTCCTTCCATTCTGTCAAATGAGACCAAGAAAACGAGAATACGTACAACCATAAATACTACACGAAAATACACCTCAAAGTCGGCGTTTTAATCCAAAAACATGGTCGGAGTTTTTTTTTTTCTCATTATGCACTCTGTGCTGCAGGATTTTTTTTATACTGCGCACACTGACCACACAGACCCATTCTCTCACATGTGGGCCTAACAGCTTTCTCCTGCTTGATTGAAGCCGCTAGAATTTGGGAGTATAAATACGTCAAAAACACTGGCTAGTCAGATGTACATACATGTATAAAAAACAGAAACAGTCAAAGGGTTAATGACCTTACATACCTCTGTTCTGCCTTACACTGTTTGATCATCTTTTTGTGTTGATGATTTTGCTATAGCTTCTGTGGGTGCTGACTGTCACTTTGAAGTGGCCTTTCTTCAGTTTGCTATGGGTCATGCTTCCAATTGGGCCACTACTCATGGGATTATTTTTTTGTTGTTGCTAAAACATACCAGGTACCTTTCATGATGCCCTATTACCCCTTGTACCACTCTATACTTGTATTGCTCCTGTATCACAGAACAGGATATAATCAAATTTCTTGTTTTTCTGTTGGACTGCCTAATGTCCTGGAAGCTTCATGTAACCTACCTGAAAGCTGCTTGTCATAGCCACTTGAACCTCCTTAAAACTCTGTCTTGTCTTTCTTTTTGAGCTGATAAACATAACCTTCACCTTATTCAGCAATAGTCTTATCTGAACTTGACTACAGTGACCAAATGTATTCTTCAGGATCCACTTCCATCATCTAAACTGCCCTAACAGATTCACTCTAACTCGTCTTCCTGCTGAACATCCCACTTTTGATGCAGACTATCTCTGACTTCTTAACTGAAACTAACCTATTGCACTGACTTTTGATTTCAGTCTTGCTTGTGCCCAACTATCCCTTAACTTTACACATCCCTACCTCTCACTCATTCTTGATCTTTGCACATTTCTACTTGCACACATTCCTCCCTGCAGCACTGTGTGACCTAAGTGCTTAATTTAAATGACTAATTACAGTGTAGAATATCAAAATGACTATAAAACCCTGGAGGAAGATTTGTATACACTGAACAGGTGGAGTGATAGTGATGATAGATTTTAATGTTGAAGAGTGCAATGTAATGGAAATGCTGTAGACCAGTTTTGAATTATCTAAGATTAAAATAACAGAGTGTCATCATAAGACCCCATATAATAGTAAACTATGTCAGGTCAAACTTTATGTAAATTAGTGTCTCAATGAAATGCCAGGAACAGTCTTAGAATCATCTGTAAGAAGAGTAAACAAAAAAGTCCCAGAGGTAGAAGGCATGAACTGATTTGTGAAAAAGGGCTAACCAAATTCTTCTTAAACATTTCATCTGTTTCCAAAACCTATCTCTCACACCTCAATACCTGTACTAAGTCTTTTCACAACTAATCCTTTATTATTGTGAAGTCTTTGTCATACGTTTCTCCTGTATTGATTTTTGTGTGCGCATACTTATATTTATGTTGATTCAGGACTTCACCTGCTGTCAAACATCTACAACAGGCAACAGCCAGCTGATCCAAACTGCAAGTACTCTGGTGCAAACATTGTCAAAAATATTCTCATTAACAAGAATATAACCACTCATATCATAATTCTGGACTCTTAAACACAACAGATTCAGTGTCCTACTTGATTCTCTAAATACTAACTTTTCTCATTTTTAATTCTAACAGACATGGCTAACAGTTAAAATAACCATTTTATGTAGTTCCAGTCACAGCTGTAAGCCAGATAAGAAAGGGAAAGCTACATACAGTGTAAAAACATCATTAACACAAGAGCTGCCTTTGGTTAATATATACATCCATAGTTTTTTACAAACAATTCAAAGATGTTAATAACAACTGAAGCTAGAGACAGAATCCCAGAGTATAGCATACCAGGCTTAAAGACATACTCAGAAATTTAATCATCACAAAAAGCTCAACAAAAGTCTCCTAATAATTACCAGTGATTAATATAAGCATTAATTATTCTGTTACCACTTACTACACTACACTAGCTCACTATACCTTTCTAATTACAAATATAAGAAATTCACTAGAAACCCCAAAAATTTAATTCATACTTCACAAGTTGAGGAGAGAAAGTGGGAAAGAGCAATATAACAATATTCAAAACATCAGCAGAGCATCAGTTAGTAAGTTAAACCTGTGCAGAATGCATTGTCCTCTCTCTGATAACTATATAAATCACAATCAGAAGGCTAAACAACCTTTGAATCACTAAAAGCCTACATAAATTGATAACTTTAGGGACTTGGCCTAACCTGGTTTTCTCTTAAAAAGAAAATGATACTCTGCAACACTTACCAATATACTGATAATCAATTACTGTAATCAAAAAGTGCAAATAAAAATATTATTACTAATACGTACTTAATGAAACAAAAGTAGATATCAAAAGCACTTTGAAAGCTTTCAAATTCTAAAATCAATTAAATCATCAGATATGAAAAAAATAAAAATCCTGTTAGTCATTAACCACCTTAACAGCAACTCACATAATTTATTACAATAATAAAACATCTCATAAAATTACCTGTAATGCACATTAAATGATCATTTAAATATCACCCTCCCTGACATTCCCAAGAGAGCACTGATAACTCATTACATACTATTCCACTGAACGAGTATTTTAAAGAAAAAAAGCTACGGTAATAACCATACTAGACTACAAACTGACAATGAAAACTAGATGACTCTACGGTTTTTCCAGAACCATTAGGAAATCTCGCATCTGCATAATAGTCTAGCTTGGATCAAAATGTTTTATCCAGTTTGTGGGTTATTTGGGAAGAGAGTTAGTTTAATATGTTTATTATGCACCCCATACCCATCCTGTGGGCGGTAGTCAAAAGATTACAGAGGTACATAATTGGTCCAGTTTTGATAGCTGAGCAAGTTACAGAGGTAATGAACTCACAATTTACAAAGGTAATGAACTCACAATTTACAAAGGTAATGAACTCACAATGCCTGCTTTCTCCTTTTTTCCTCATGGGAAGGGAAGAAACAGCCAGTTTGGTATATTTTGCCTGTTCTTGGGCATTTGTGAGTGAATTGGCATCAGATGTCACCAAACCTTCACACACTGCCCAGTTTACCTGTTTGAGAGTATGATAGGTTTTTTATAATCATGTCTGCAAATATAGCATTATTACCACTAGGGAAGTGGTAGTATAAAATCACACAGATGAAGCTGGTATGTGGCTTAATATGTTTGCTTGGTTATGTGACATCATGCAGTGCCTGATTTCTTACCTATATTCATTGATCACTTTATTATGGTAAAACAGCAAGCAATTGATATAGTGTTATTATTAGCTTTAATTCCCTACATAACAGGTGAAGTCCCAATTTTAAATAGGCAGAGACTGACATTTCTTGAGTTTTGTTGGCACATGAGAATGTGTATATTTAGGTACCCTATGAACATTGATTCTCTTGAGTGGCTGTTTCATTAGGCTTTCCTAGTATAGTACTGTATATTTATTACTCATAAATGTGGGCTCTTAATTTAGAAATGCTAAACCATAATTAACTGTGACCCTTTACAAGCGTGCACTTTCTATGGAATATAATAATAATGACTGGAGCAAACTCATGACAAGTTCATATGTGGCAGCTACTGAAAACTTCAAAAATATGTATTGTTAATTAAAGAATTTAAGATGACAAAGATGCAATTTATGTGAACAGAACTAGAAAGCTCAAAGGCTAGTATGCACTAATAAACTAGTACCTTTGCCCAATTTTCTAAACTAATTCATCACTACTTGCACATTTCTAGGGGAAGCTGATTCCTACTGCATTGTCAAGTGTGAGGGAGAGACTGTTCGCACACCTGTTGCCAAAAATACAACAAACCCTACCTGGGACACAAAGGCAATCTTCTACCGTGCCAATCCAGAGGAACCAATTGTTATTGAGGTAAGACAAATAATGAAACATCTTAGTTATTTATCATTCTATAGCTCTCTTAATGAAAATGTATGTATTATATAATTTGAACTCAGATTTCACATGCTTCATAATTAGCATGATTTGATTCAAAAAATGTTTATCGAATTTCATTTCATGGATAACTTAGATTATTTACATTTTTCTTGGTGCCCATTATCTTTTTACTTGATGCACATCCCCTAAATTGTGTATCACAGGCTATGTAACATTTATATATATATATATATATATATAGCCAGAATATCAAAGTACTACAGTGGACCCCCGCATAACGTTGGCATCGCATAGCGTTAAATCCGCATAGCGATACATTTTATCGCTAAAATTTTGCCTCGCATAGCGCTAAAAAATTGGCTCAACGCGATTCGTCCGAGACGCATCCATGTGGCCTGAGCCAGCCTCACTTGTTCTGCCAGTGGCATTGTTTACAAGCCAGCCTCCGCGGTAACATTCAAGCATACAATCGGAACATTTCTTATTATTACAGCCTTTTTATAGTGAGTTCACCTGAAAAATAAGTGACCATGGGCCCCAAGAAAGCTTCTAGTGCCAACCCTACAGGAATAAGGCTGAGAATTACTATGGAGATGAAGAAAGAGATCATTGCTAAGTATGAAAGTGGAGTGCATGTCTCCGAGCTGGCCAGGTTGTATAGTAAACCCCAATCAACCATTGCTACTATTGTGTCCAAGAGAACGGCAATCAAGGAATCTGTTCTTGCCAAAGTTTTAACTGTGCTTTCGAAACAGAGATCGCAAGTGATAGAAGATGTTGAGAGACTGTTATTGGTGTGGATAAACGAAAAACAGATAGCAGGCGATAGCATCTCTCAAGCGATCATAAGTGAAAAGGCTAGGAAGTTGCACGAGGATTTAATTAGAAAAATGCCTGCAACTAGTTGTGATGCGAGTGAATTTAATGCCAGCAAAGGTTGGTTTGAGAGATTTAAGAGGCGTAGTGGCATACATAGTGTGATAAGGCATGGTGAGGCTGCCAGTTCAGACCAAAAAGCAGCTGAAAAATATGTGCATGAATTCAAGGAGTACATAGACAGTGAAGGACTGAAACCTGAACAAGTGTTTAATTGTGACGAAACAGGCTTGTTTTGGAAGAAAATGCCAAGCAGGACCTACATTACTGAAGAGGAAAAGACACTCCCAGGACATAAGCCTATGAAAGATAGGCTTACTCTGTTGATGTGTTCCAATGCTAGTGGTGATTGCAAAGTGAAGCCTTTATTAGTGTATCACTCTGAAACTCCCAGAGCATTCAGGCAAAAGAATATCCTCAAGGCTAATTTGTGTGTGCTGTGGAGGGCAAACAATAAGGCATGGGTCACTTGGGACTTTTTCTATGACTGGTTACACCAAGCATTTGCCCCCACTGTGAAAAATTATCTAACTGAAAAGAAATTAGACCTTAAGTGCCTCCTGGTGTTAGACAATGCCCATGGTCATCCTACAGACTTGGCAGAGCGACTTTGTGGGGACATGAGCTTCATTAAGGTGAAGTTTTTTCCTCCTAATACCACTCCTCTCCTGCAGCCCATGGACCAGCAGGTTATTACAAACTTCAAAAAACTGTACACAGAAGCTCTGTTTGAAAGGTGCTTTGTAGTGACCTCAGAAACTCAATTGACTCTCTTTAAGAGAGTTTTGGAGAGATCACTTTAATATCCTCAATTGTGTAAACCTTATAGGTAAAGCTTGGGAGGGAGTGACTAAGAGGACCTTGAACTCTGCTTGGAAGAAACTGTGGCCAGAATGTGTAGACCAAAGGGATTTTGAAGGATTTGAGGCTAACCCTGAGAGGAGTATGCCAGTTGAGGAATCAATTGTGGCATTGGGGAAGTCCTTGGGGTTGGAGGTTAGTGGGGAGGATGTGGAAGAGTTGGTAGAGGAGGACAATGAAGAACTAACCACTGATGAGCTGCTAGATCAACTTCAACAGCAAGAGGCCACACCTGAGGAAATTGCTTTGGGAGGAGGGGAGAGAGAAAATTGAAGAAGTTGCCTACTTCAAAGATTAAGGAAATCTGTGCAAAGTGGCTTGAAGTGCAAACCTTCATGGATGAAAATCACCATCAGACAGCTATTGCAAGCTGTGCTGGTGACTATTACACTGACACTGTTGTGAAACACTTTAGGAAAGTCATAAAGGAACGAGAGGTACAGGCCACTATGGACAGATATGTTGTGCGACAGAGTCCAATGACTCTGAAGCTGGTCCTAGTGGGCATTAAAAGAAGAAGGGAAGCAACCCCAGAAAAGGACTTGACACCTCAATCCTAATGGAGGGGATTCCCCTTCTAAACATTTAAAACCATCCAGTCTCCCCTCCTCCCATCCCATCAATCATCACATCTTCAATAAAGGTAAGTGTCATGTAACTGTGCATGTTTTCTTAAGTTTGTGTGTATTAAAATTAATATTTCATGTGGTAAAATTTTTTTTTTTCATACTTTTGGGTATCTTGCACGGATTAATTTGATTTCCATTATTTCTTATGGGGAAAATTAATTCGCATAACGATAATTTCGCACAACATTGAGCTCTCAGGAATGGATTAATAGCGTTATGCGGGGGTCCACTGTATTTGAAAATAAATGAATACACTATTTAAGAAGAGAGATGCTTATGTGAATGAGGTCAGGCCACTTTACCTTAACTCCATAATAGACCATGGCTGGAGGAGGGATGTTAAGAGTGGATCAGCAATTCACACACACCACTTCTTAAATCACGTTTATGAGTAATAAATTCTATTGCCAATTCTTACATTTAAGAAGTGCTAGGTATTGCTATAGTTATACAGTTTTATCTACTGTAGTTAGTGCCCACAATAATTATCTGGACCTGCCTCCAACCTTTCCTAGAACAACCCCTCTCTCTCTTCCCCTCCTCTCCTCCACCCAGGATATATATGATATATATGCCCTCCTAGTCATTCTGTTTCTCTCTTAAATGCCCAAACCCCCTTATATTTCTCAAAAATTTCCGAGAAATAATGATGATGATGTTCAGGTTAATAGATTACATTTCTTCTGTATACTAGAGCTTGTTAATGTGTTGAATACTTAAAGGAAATTGAGTGAGTGACCAAAATAAAATATGCAATTGATGCTGTGATTGTGGTGATTTGCAGCACTTCCCACAGCTGCAGATCACCTCATTATGTATATATATATATATATATATATATATATATATATATATATATATTTTTTTTTTTTTGTTACAAGTTGGCCATCTCCCACCGAGGCAGGGTGACCCATTCAACACTTTCAGCTCACTCATACATAATCAGTGTTTTTGCAGAGGCACCCAGATAGAACAGTTTAGAAGAATATACATATAAAGATATATAACATATCCCTCCAAACTGCCAATATCCCAAACCCCTCCTTTAAAGTGCAGGCATTGTACTTCCCATTTCCAGTACTCAAGTCCAGCTATATAAAAATAACCGGTTTCCCTGAATTCCTTCACTAAATATTACTCTGCTCACACTCCAACAGCTCATCAGGTCCCAAAAACCATTCGTCTCCTTTCACTCCTATCTACCACGCTCACGCATGCTTGCTGGAAGTCCAAGCCGCTCACCCACAAAACTTCCTTTACCCCCTCCCTTCAACCTTTTTGAGGATGACCCCTACTCTGCCTTCCTTTCCCTACAAATTTATATGCTCTCCATGTCATTGTACTTTGATTCATTCTCTCTAAATGACCAAACCACCTCAACAACCCCTCATCAGCCCTCTGGCTAATACTTTTATTAACTCCACACCTTCTTCTAATTTCCACACTCCGAATTTTCTGCATAATATTTACACCACACAATGCCCTTAGACAGGACATCTCTACTGCCTCCAACTGCCTCCTCGCTGCAGCATTTACAATCCAAGCTTCACCCCCATATAAGAAAGTTGGTACCACTATACTTTCATACGTTCCCTTCTTTGCCTCCATAGATAACATTTTTTGTCTCGACAGTTACCTCAATGCGCCACTCACCTGTTTTCCTTCATCAGTTCTATGGTTAACCTCATCCTTCATAAACCCATCTGCTGACAAGTCAACTCCCAAATATCTGAAAATATTTACTTCTCCCATACTCCTTCTCTTCAATGTGATATTCAATTTTTCTTTATCTAAATCATTTGATACCCTCATCACCTTACTCTTATCTATGTCCATTTTCAACTTTCTACCTTTATACACCTTCCCAAACTTGTCCACTAACCTTTATAACTTTTCTTTAGAATCACCCATAAGCACAGTATCATCAGCACAGTATCATCCCACCCCTCTCCCCAGCACCCTAGCATTTACTTCTTTTCAACCCCATCTATAAATATATTAAACAACCATGGTGACATTACACATCCATGTCTAAGACCTACTTTTACCGAGAAGTAGTCTGTCTCTCTTCTACACACCCTAACCTGAGCCTCGCTATCCTCATAAAACTCTTTACAGCATTTAGTAACTTACCACCTATTCCATATACTTGCAACATCTGCCACATTGTGCCCCTATCCACTCTATTATATGCCTTTTCTAAATCCATAAATGCAATAAAATCTTCCCTACCTTTATCTAAATACTGTTCACATATATGCTTCAATGTAAACACTTGATCTACACATCCCCTACCCACTCTAAAACCTTGCTCATCCGCAATCCTACATTCTGTCATACCTCTAATTCTTTCAATAATAACCAAATTAGCTGTTCCTCCTCCCCTACTGCTTTTTTTTTTTTAACTAAAGTTTATTTGCTCTGGGATATGTCACACTGTGACTGTTCCATTACATTACTCTGTGTGGGAAGGAGTCTTTTTATTATTACTGCACTGCCGTATTTTTACCTACAGATATGGAACAGTAATGTGCTAGTAGATGGGTTCATTGGACGGGCAGAAGTAGAAGCTCCAGTCAATGCGACAGTGATGCAGATAGAGCTACCACTGTATGGCCGAAGGAAGAAAAAACAGTGGAGAAACAAGGTGCCAGGTGTAAATGAAAAGGGGGCCCCTTTTGTTGAATTTTGTATAAAAAGGGGTTTTTATTTATAGGAAATAATTTTTTAAAAAAAAGAGGATAAAAAAGTATAAAAAACATATGATTAGGGCAAAATTTACGTAGTTTGTTGATTATGTTTTGGGTAGATAAAAACTTTTGTTTAACTCAGGTTGTCCCAATTTTTATAAAAGGGGCCCACAGATAATCAGATCACTTTCTTTTGGGTAGCTACCTGAGAGTAAAAGGTAGATGGGAAAAAGGAGAATAGAACCCTCGGGGAAAAGAGAGGTAAAGGGTTTTATAAACTAAAAGAGGAGGAAAAAAATTTTTAGGGTAAGATATAAACACCTATTTGGGATAAAAGGGCTAATGAAGCATAGGCAATGGGGTCGAAGAGGTAGGGGGTGGGTTTTAAAAATGTAGTGTTAGAGTGTTTCAGCAAAATTTGTGGTTACAGGAAAGGGGGGTCAGGGGGGGGAAAAGGGGCGTTTGGGTGGAATGAAAAATTAAAAAGAGAGTATAAGGGAGAAAAAGTTACTATGAGAATTTTTTTACAAATTTTAAAGTGATGCAAGGGGGGAAGAGTAATGAAAAAAAGAAGAATTTTAAGAGAGTGGGGAAGAAAAGTAAAAAGAGAGCAAATGAGAGAGGGGGGGAGATTTTTATAAACCAATTTTTTTTGAAATAAAAAAATTTTTTGGAGTAAATTTTAACAATTAAGAAACCTAGAGAACAAATGGATTTGCCCATTTAACAATGGGAAAGAGGAAGTTATTAAAGGGAAAAGGTATAATTGGGAAGATGGAAGGAATATTTTGGGGAAATTTGTTAAATGTTTTATGAAGATGGGGAAAGGGCTGGGGATTTCGGTTTAGGGCAAGAGGAATAACACTGTAGGAGTGAGGAAGAGCCAGTTGTGAGTGTGGGGGAAATTTGTGAGGGAGTAGGTAAAAAAAAAGGGGGTAAGGCAGCCGGATTGATGGATAAAGATAGAAATGTTAAAAGCAGGTGGGGATATAGTTTTGGAGTGGTTGGTGCAATTTTAATAAATGTATGGAAGAGGGTAAGGTACCTAGGGATTGGCAGAGAGCATGCATAGTTCCTTTGTATAAAGGCAAAGGGGATAAAAGAGAGTGCAAAAATTATAGGGGGATAAGCTGTTGAGTGTACCTGGTAAAGTGTATGGTAGAGTTATAATTGAAAGAATTAAGAGTAAGACGGAGAATGGGATAGCAGATGAAAAAGGGAGGCTTTAGGAAAGGTGGGGGGTGTGTGGACCAGGTGTTTACAGTGAAACATATAAGTGAACAGAATTTAGATAAGGCTAAAGAGGTCTTTGTGGCATTTATGGATTTGGAAAAAGGCGTATGACAGGGTGGATAGGGGGCAATGTGGCAGATGTTGCAAGTGTATGGTGTGGAGGTAGGTTACGAAAGCATGAAGAGTTTTTACGAGGATAGTGAGGCTCAAGTTAGAGTATGTAGGAAAGAGGGAAATTTTTTTCCCAGTAAAAGTAGGCCTTAGACAAGGATGTGTGATGTCACCGTGTGTTGTTTAATATTTTATAGATGGGGTTGTAAGAGAAGTAAATGCGAGGGTCTTGGCAAGAGGCGTGGAGTTAAAAGATAAAGGAATCAAAACACAAAGTGGGAGTTGTCACAGCTGCTCTTTGCCGATGACACTGTGCTCTTGGAGATTCTGAAGAGAATTTTGCAGAGATTGGTGGATGAATTTGGTAGGGTGTGCAAAAGAAGAAAATTAAAGGTGAATACAGGAAAGAGTAAGGTTATGAGGATAAAAAAAAAGATTAGGTGATGAAGATTGAATATCAGATTGGAGGGGGAGAGTATGGAGGAGGTGAACGTATTCAGATATTTGGGAGTGGACGTGTCAGCGGGTGGGTCTATGAAAGATGAGGTGAATCATAGAATTGATGAGGGAAAAAGGTGAGTGGTGCACTTAGGATCTGTGGAGACAAAGAACTTTGTCCTTGAGGCAAAGAGGGGAATGTATGAGAGTATAGTTTTACCAACGCTCTTATATGGGTGTGAAGCGTGGGTGATGAATGTTGCAGCGAGGAGAAGGCTGGAGGCAGTGGAGATGTCATGTCTGAGGGCAATGTGTGGTGTGAATATAATGCAGAGAATTCGTAGTTTGGAAGTTAGGAGGAGGTGCGGGATTACCAAAACTGTTGTCCAGAGGGCTGAGGAAGGGTTGTGAGGTGGTTCGGACATGTAGAGAGAATGGAGCGAAACAGAATGACTTCAAGAGTGTATCAGTCTGTAGTGGAAGGAAGGCGGGGTAGGGGTCGGCCTAGGAAGGGTTGGAGGGAGGGGGTAAAGGAGGTTTTTGTGTGCGAGGGGCTTGGACTTCCAGCAGGCATGCGTGAGCGTGTTTGATAGGAGTGAATGGAGACAAATGGTTTTAATACTTGACGTGCTGTTGGAGTGTGAGCAAAGTAACATTTATGAAGGGATTCAGGGAAACCGGCAGGCCGGACTTGAGTCCTGGAGATGGGAAGTACAGTGCCTGCACTCTGAAGGAGGGGTGTTAATGTTGCAGTTTAAAAACTGTAGTGTAAAGCACCCTTCTGGCAAGACAGTGATGGAGTGAATGATGGTGAAAGTTTTTCTTTTTCGGGCCACCCTGCCTGGTGGGAATCGGCCGGTGTGATAATAAAAAAAAAAAATAAAAAAATATTTTTTTTTTTTTTTGTTACAAGTTGGCCATCTCCCACCGAGGCGGGTGACCCATTCAACACTTTCAGCTCACTCATACATTATCATGTTTTTGCAGAGGCACCCAGATTAGAAACAGTTTAGAAGAATATAATATAAAGATTATAACATATCCCTCCAAACTGCCAATATCCCAAACCCTCTTTAAAGTGCAGGCATTGTACTTCCATTTCCAGTACTCAAGTCCAGCTATATAAAAATAACCGGTTTCCCTGAATTCCTTCACTAATATTACTCTGCTACACTCCAACGCTCGTCAGGTCCCAAAAACCATTCGTCTCCTTTCATCTATCTACCACGCTCACGCAGCTTGCTGGAAGTCCAGCCGCTCGCCCACAAAACTTCCTTTTACCCCCTCCCTTCAACCTTTTTGAGGATGACCCTACTCTGCCTTCCTTTCCTACAAATTTATATGCTCTCCATGTCATTGTACTTTGATTCATTCTCTCTAAATGACACAACCACCTCAAACAACCCCTCATCAGCCTCTGGCTAATACTTTTTTAACTCCAACCTTCTTCTAATTTCACCTACTCCGAATTTTCTGCATAATATTTACACCACACAATGCCCTTAGACAGACATCTCACTGCCTCCAACTGCCTCCTCGCTGCAGCATTTACAATCCAAGCTTCACCCCCATATAAGAAGTTGGTACCACTATACTTTCATACGTTCCCTTCTTTGCCTCCATAGATAAACATTTTTGTCTCGACAGTTACCTCAATGCGCCACTCACCTTTTTTTCCCTTTATCAGTTTCTTGGTTAACCTCATCCTTCATAAACCCATCTGCTGACAAGTCAACACCCAAATATCTGAAAACATTTACTTCCCCCATACTCCTTCTCTTCAATGTGATATTCAAATTTTTTCTTTATCTAAATCATTTGTACCCTCATCACCTTACTCTTATCTATGTCCATTTTCAAATTTCTACCTTTATACACCCTCCCAAACTTGTCCCCTAACCTTTTTAACTTTTCTTTAGAATCACCCATAAGCACAGTATCATCAGCACAGTATCATCCCACCCCCTTTTCCCCCCGCACCCTAGCATTTACTTCTTTTCAACCCATCTATAAATATATTAAACAACCATGGTGAAATTACACATCCTGTCAAGACCTACTTTTACCCAGAAGTAGTCTGTCTCTCTTCTACACACCCTAACCTGAGCCTCGCTATCCTCAAAAAAACTCTTTACAGCATTTAGTAACTTACCACCTATTCCATATACTTGCAACATCTGCCACATTGTGCCCTATCCACTCTATTATATGCCTTTTCTAAATCCATAAATGCAATAAAATCTTCCCTACCTTATCTAAATACTGTTCACATATAGCTTCAATGTAAACACTTGATCTACACATCCCCCACCCACTCTAAAACCTTGCTCATCCACAATCCTACATTCGTCTTACCTCTAATTCTTTCAATAATAAAACCCAAAATTTGCTGTTCCTCCTCCCCTACTGCTTTTTTTTTTTTTAACTAAAGTTTATTTGCTCTGGGATATGTCACACTGTGACTGTTCCATTACATTACTCTGTGTGGGAAGGAGTCTTTTTATTATTACTGCACTGCCGTATTTTTACCTACAGATATGGAACAGTAATGTGCTAGTAGATGGGTTCATTGGACGGGCAGAAGTAGAAGCTCCAGTCAATGCGACAGTGATGCAGATAGAGCTACCACTGTATGGCCGAAGGAAAGAAAAAACAGTGGAGAAACAAGGAAAGCTTTTTGTACAAGTGTATAGCGATGATGACTTGACTAGTATCTAAACTGAATATTAAGAAGGAAGGTATCCTTATACACTACAATTTTTGTTAAGGGCGAGTTGTATACAGTACGAAAAAACATGGTGCACTCAATTTAAATACAATACATACTTTAATATGTAAATGCTTTTCTTTGTATAATAAGAATCATACATTTTTTACAGATTTTTTAAATAATATTTTGCATAATAAGGTGTTTTTTAAAGATTTTGTTACATGTAGTTGTTTGTGTATGTTTGTCTCATCACACTTATTATAGATATAAAAGGATGATACAATACATATACAGGTTTTACCAAAACTGAAACCCATTTAGTTTATTTGACATATTTATACATCATCTCTAATTTACTTAAATTGTGCAGTTCATATGTAAAAATTTATGCTATAATTTCTACTTTATTTAACACGATAATACAGTATGGTAGAACACCATATATTTGGCTAGATTGGGACAGGAGGCTGTCTAAATTTTTTATTTGTCTGAAGATACCAAGCATGAAGTTCTTGAAACTTTTTTTATTTTTTTTTCAAAGGAAACTCATCAGACAAAAGGAAAGTAAAAATCAAATAAAAATTGTGCTCATCAATCCCTGTTGTCCTTATCCTCTTTTACAGTATATGTACAGCATACAAATCATGTATTAGGTAAGGCTGAGAGGCAAAATTTTTTAATTCTTAAGCAGCGCTGTATAGCCCTTGTGGCTTAGCGCTTCTTTTTGATTATAATAATAATTTTAATTCTTAAACAAGATTTTATATAAAATATAATAGAATTTTACAATGATTTTGAGGATCATTAGATAAACCTACATTAATTAAACTCATCTGTAATTAGGTACTTTAAAATGCACCAACATATGCACAAAGCATATGGCTAAAATACTCATAATTTGCAAGCTCTGGTAAATGAACAAAATAGTTTAAATATCTCTCAAAAAAGACACCTTTTCCCTTCTGCTTAAACATTAGTACTGACCATGGCAACTATAATCCAACAGACCAATACAATAGAATGCATCATATTTGCTGATGTTAACCCTTTAACTGTCCAAACATAGATCTATGTTCATGTGTGTAGCGCTCTGAATATTGTGGGGAAAAAAATTGAAGAGCCCATTTTTCCCAGCATCCCCAAATCTTGTCATACTGCTCACACTGAGTGCACAGACCCATTCTCTCATGTCTAGGCAACTCAGGCCTATTGTGCCAAGGTTGAAAGCATGTAAAATAAAATGTAGATCTACATTCAGAGCGCTACGCACGTGAACGCAGATCTACGTCTGGACAGTTTAAGGGTTAATGATTAGAAATTTTAGCAGCATAAAATGGTGCATGTCTTATCAATTAGAGGAAATGTGTGTGCCAAGCTTGTGTAAACAATGAGCTGTGGTAGGAGTCAGGTAGAGTGAGCACCACCAAGATCTCACAAGTGCAAGACAAATTCATTATCAGCTTTGCCTACACTAATTTATGGCTTGATAAAATTGTTGAAAAAAATTCCTTTTTTTTTTTTTTGTAAGCACGCCATTAATACATTTTCGTGGCTGTGGCTGCTGCAGCAGCCACAGCAACAAAAATAATAATTAAGTATAATTATAACAATATAATTACGACAATAAAGGTTAGTAGACGAGTTTGGGAGGGTGTGTAAAGGTAGAATGTTGAAAGTGAACATAGATGAGAGTAAGGTGACGAAGGTATCAAACGATTTAGATAAAGAAAAATTGGATATCACATTGGACGGAGGAGTATGGAAGAAGTGAATGTTTTCGGATATTGGGAGTTGACTTGTCAGCGGATGGGTTTATGAAAGATGAGGTTAACCATAGAAGTGATGAAGAAAAAAAAAGTGAGTGGTGCATTGAGGTATCTGTGGAGACAAAATTATCCATGGAGGCAAAAAAGGGAATGTATGAGAGTATAGTGGTACCAACACTAATATGGGTTTGGAGCATGAGTTGTAAATGCTGCAGAGAGGTGGCTGGAGGCAGTGGAGATGTTGTGTCTAAGGGTAATGTGTGAATTAAATATTATGCAGAGAATTCAGAGTATGGAAATTAGGTGGTGTGGAGTTACTAAAAGTATTAGTCAGAGGGTTGAAGAGGGGCTGTTGAGGTGGTTTGGTCATTGAGAGAGAATGGAACAAAGTAGAATGACTTGGAGAGCGTATAAATCTGTCGGGGGAGGAGGGCAGGGTAGGAGTCGTCCCCGAAAAGGTTGGAGGGAGGGGGTAGAGGCTTTGCAGGCGAGAGGTTTGGACTTCCAGCAAGCATGCATGAGCGTGTTAGATAGGAGTGAATGGAGACGAATGGATTTTGGGACCTGACGAGCTGCTGGAGTGTGAGCAGGGTAATATTTTGTGAAGAGATTCAGGAAAACCGGTCAGCTGGACTTGAGTCCTGGAAATGGGAAGTACAATGCCTGCACTTTAACCCGTAAACGGTCCAAATGTATATATACGTTTTTTCAACATTTGAAAGTATGTAAAAAAAGTAGATCTTCTTTTTGTTTGTTTACATTTGAAAATGTGTAAAAAAAGCTTTGATCTACTTTTTTTTTTGTTATATTTGAAAATATGTAAAAAAAAATGTAGATCTACTTTTGTAGCACTACACGTGAACGTAGATCTGCTTGGACCGTTTACGGGTTAAAGGAGGGATTTGGGATATTGGCAGTATGGAGGGACGTTTTAACCTGTTGTATCTGAGCGCCTCTGCAAAGACAGTGATTATGTATGAGTGATGGTGAAAGTGTTGAATGATTTAAATTTACTATTTCTTTTTGGGTTTTTCTTTCTTTTTGGGTCACCCTGCCTCGGTGGAAAACGACCAACGTGTTAAAAAACAAAAAGACAATATTTTTAGCCATAAACCTTGTGCATGGGCAAAGCACAAAATTATTAATGAGTAATAAAACGAGTGTCAAATTAGATTTATCTGACACCAACAAGAATATATTAAATATTCTATCATTTTAGAGGAATATAATTTTTAACTCATATATATCTGCCTCTTATCCTTACCTAACACATGATTTATATGATGGTGTCTAGATAAGCACATAAGTACTAGGGAGTGAGTGATAAAATGCATGTTAAAGAATAGGTAAACATCACCTACCAACTGGCTGCTGCTGCTAACCAAACTTTCATCTCGTACCTACAACATCAGCTCTCAGCATGCTAGTTTAATGTTTTGACTAAAAATTCACTATTTTTGAGTCAGCATACTAAATATCTTAGATTTTATTATACACTTCATGATTTTTTAAAAATATATGAATTATCAGAAAATTAAGAAAAATGTTCTAAAACAATAAAAATAAACTTTATTTTTATTTCTTTGTGTAGTATACAAAGTGTAGTTTACATGTAATAAAATAATTAAGCACAAACGAGCCACTAGCATGCATGTGCATTTTGGGCAGACTAATCCTAATGCTTACAGACTACTAAAGATTAGACATAGGTTACCGAGAGGTAAATTTTAATTATATATATTATGTTACATGTATAGACAGCTATTTAGCAAGTGTTAAATGACTTTTTCCATTTTACTTCAATGGCCATCTATCAAGCAAACTTGTGAATTGTGTAATGCATAATGATGTGTATAATATTTGTAATTAATTTAGAGATGAATATTTTTCTTGAATCTTTTGGCTTTTTCCCTAAGAATTTATCACTCTCCAAGGACCAAAGTTTCCAAGGAATCCATTTCTCTGATCTTGTGGTGTTTCACTGTACCATCATTATTATTATACAATATTTACATTGTGTACTGCCAACAACAGTGAAAAAATGTTACACATTGTAGAATAAGCTTTAATCAGAAAAATGTTTTCCTCTGCATAAAGTTTTATCAAGCCATGACTCCATAAAGCCCTACACAAAAATATTGTTACAGTAAAAGCTTGTTCTGCAATGTGTATCTTTTCTTCATAATATTCACAAGAAAGTGTGGGTCATTTTAGCTGATGGGCCTCCTATACTACTGGTATAAATTTTAGGTTAAGTATAGTAAGTGAAATTAAAAGATTAGTGGTTTGCAAGTGATGAAATTGAGTTCTGTGATTTCAGTGTTGAGGATTTATATTTTTTGCATTTTTTATAAACTATATGGTGTATGTAATATGTATGAAAATGTTGCATATTAATAAACACATAAATGTAAAGATGATTCTAACTTTTGGACACTGAATTCCTTAATCTCTAACAAATTAGTTAGGAGTACAGTGCTATATACAATACTGCGAAAAGTACAGTAAACCCTTGATATAACAAGCTTAAAATATTGGCAAAACAAATCCACTGGTTGAATTATACTTCGAACTCATTAACTTTCAATGTTTATTGCAGTTTATCTGCAAATTGTGTACACAGTACCATACTAGGTACAGTAGGGCCCTACTTGTATGGCAGGTTAGGTTCCAGGCTAGTGCCATACAGCAGAAGTTGCTGTAAAGTGGAATACCCTTTTTTTCCACTTATAAATGCATATAAATACTAGATAACAAGTTTACACTAACATATATTAAGTTAGCAATAGAACTAGGCATTAAAAAACAATAAAAAAGTAATACACATATAGTACACACATTACTTGCCTTAAAATATTTGTAGTTTTAATGTAGGGTGAGATGAGCAGTATTGTAAGAAATCAAGTGTGGTATGTATGGTTGCCAGCCTGGCTACCATACCAGGCCACCCCAACCACACAATATTTTATGACATTTAAAGCGTCCCAGAGCGATAAAATGCATATATGTACAGTTCACTCTTTACTTACCTTAAAATATTTGTAGTCTTAATGTAGGGTCAGAGGTGAGTATACGAGATAAAACAAATAAACCAGAGAGAGAGATTGAGTACATGAGAGAGGACAGATGCAGAGTTATGTACATGTATACCTTGTACATGTACAAGGTATACAGGCCTAGCTGACATCAGTGACATATTACTATGTATATATAAAGCTGCTTGTTATGCTGAGCATTTTGGGCAAATTAGGTCAGTTTTGTCCCAGGATGTAACCCTCGCCAATCGACTAAAGTCTAGGTACCCATTTTACACTGATGGGTGAACAGGGACAGCAGGTGTCTTATGGAAGCATGTCCCTAATGTTTTCAGTCAATCAATCAATCAAGTTTATTCTCTCTAAGGATTACAATGCGGGATTTACAGATTTTGGATATTGTGTGGTTTACATGTTTTAAAATACTAATTACAGAGGGGGCCACTAGGACACCTAGCATGGCTAGGCATTTCGGGCAAACTTAGATTAATTCTTAACTTTAAATTATTACAGATTATGGTATTAAGGCTAAGTGACTATACGTATTATAGTTTACGAGTTTAGCAATGTGAATGCTTTTGTTTTGGCACAATACATAGTGTCTGTATTGGAGTATCATAGGCAAACTTAGGATTCATTATTTTAAGATTAAGATTCGTATTTCTGTGTTTATAGTCAATGGGTGAGTGAGTTTAAGTGTGAACCACCAGGTGGTTTTCATGTAGTTAGTTGATGGGGTGAATCAGGGAGATAAGATGTTTTCTAACTGTAGTTTTGAAAGTGATGAATGTGTC